AACTTGAGTTTAATAATTGTGCCAAAAGTACCAGTTTGTGTCTTGGTAATTGCACAAAGCTGTAATAGGCCACAAATAATCACATTTTTCTAAAAACACAGCAGCAAAACCTATTTTATCCACCCAAAAATGAAGGCCCACCTGAAAAAAAATTGCTATTTTTAGCATTAAATAATGTACACTTAAACTGATATAGCTTTTTTGGTGGAGAAAAGAAATGTTGCTTTTGCCCACGTCCTCAGCAGTACATGGCTCTGCTGTGCCGGGGCTCCATATGTTTCTCCACACGACTACTGTAGGTAGTACACTGATTATGGATATATACCACACACTACCCCACTTCAAAAGACCAGAACTATCCTGTGTGTAGTTTTAGTATTTGAATTACAATGACATTATTCTCAGACTTGCCATAGTTCTTGGTTTGTACCACTGCTGCTCTGCTCTGTACAGCTGAGTACTGGGGACCCACTGGGAGTCATGTGACTGGAGCAGGAGAGTAACACACGTCACACCTGCAGCCATGATGCTCCAGCTCAATGGGGGTCGAGTCTTTCAGCCCCACCTGTAAGAAGAGAAACAAAATAAATACGTATTCAGTTTGCATTGTATTATTTATTTTAGGGTAACATTTTGGTTTAATAACATTGTGCTATTTTAAGGAGTAAATAAGTCATATATTTTTTCCTAAATGTCTTCTATACTTACAACTTCTTATACATACTGATATGAATTGATTTACTTTTATACTATGAACGAAGAAAAATGACTCTTTAACAACAGAACAGGAACAAAACACAACTGTGACCTCTGTGCAGCACACACAGACCAGTCAGTCCATTTCTGGGACTAGTAGCTACCTTGTGCTAGTTATATTAAAGTTAATGTTTTACTATTGGATGTGTCTAACCTGTCTGAAATGAGCCAAATCCCCAGGAACATGTTGAGCCAGACGGTAACTAAGACAGTAACACTTCATCCTGACCTCACTGTGGGGCCTGTCCTCATGGACCTGTAGCATAACACCCTGACACTAAAATACAAAGTATGTTCATTAAGAATGCACATACTGTCCCTCCTCTGTCTTTCAATGTAGTCAAACTTGTTGAAGAAAAACAATAAGTTTAACGTTACAGAAATAAAAGCTTAATTACTCACCCTCCTAATTGTAGACGTAACTTCACAAGTACAACTTCAAACATTTCTCCCGCTTGCTGCTGGGTGCAGGTGAGAGTAGGTCGACATTTCTGTTTACATCGCTGACATTTGTCACAGGTAAATCTTGTAGGTATATCACAACAAACATGACGTTGTCACACAGCGACAAGCTGGACACTGGATTGACCAAATATTTGCACACTCTTATTTACATTTGACACGTTACTCAAAACCGACAGCCTGTGTGTTGTTTGCAAAACACTGCCACTGAAATACCACACTCAATTATCAAGCCCCTGCACCCAGAATGCACATGTTAAAAGCCATGTAACCAATTAGATCACTTAGAAACCTGAGCTTGAACACTTTGTTGTGCACAACAATGGAGGCCACTTTTGGAGAGAGAGTTAGAGGAAGAGGTAAATGCAATATACTGTATTTTGTCTTCACTACCATACAGTAACTATGTTCATGTCATCTTCACTCTCAGTAAAGTCATTGTGTCTGATACTGTTATGAGTATTGAGAATAAACCTATTTGTGTGTTTCCACATTGCATGTGTTCATTCATAGTCCATATTTACAGCGTGCTACAAATGAAAATGCCTAAAACTTTGACTTGAATGTCTTGTTTATTAATCAACTAATGGACAGTGTTTCAATTCAGTTCATGTAACCCTTACACACTCTTTTGAGCGTCGAGTGATTATGGCCTGCATATCTTTCTGTTCTAACTCAGCTGTCAGCTTCTTACTGTCCTAATGTGCACAATGTAGTGACTGCTTTTTTGTCTTTTGTTTTCTTAGTTATGTTCTCTGTATTTTATATGTTTGTGTTATGTGTAACGTTGCTGCCTTCTTGGCCAGGTCAGCATTGCAAATGAGATTCTATCTCAATGCTACGGTGGCCCTGAAGTGCAAGACACCACAGCATTTCAGAAAACACTACAGCATTTCAGAAAACACCACAGCATTTCAGAAAACACCACAGCATTTCACAAAACACTACAGCATTTCAGAAAACGCCACAGTATTTCAGAAAACGCCACAGCATTTCACAAAACACAACAGCATTTCAGAAAACACAACAGCATTTCACAAAACGCCATAGTATTTCAGAAAACACAACAGCATTTCAGAAAACACCACAGCATTTCAGAAAACACCACAGCATTTCACATTGGACGGAAATGGTATTCCTTTAGGGAGAACACTTCTTGTTTGTGATTGGACAGAGCCAGCCAGAGAAGCACTGCTGTGATTGGTTGTTTTTGCTGCCAGTCAAGAAATGACGCTTCGTGATTGGTCAACACCCGACAGTGAAATATGTCCCAACACATCAGCCGTTAGCACACACTCAGAGCTCACAGCTCCTCATATCTGTTCAGAAACTGGACACAAGTTAAACATGTACAAACCACAGACTGTCTATGTCATGGCGAATACAGTCGCTGCTTTATTTATGTCTGTATGACGTTGTTGTGAGTGTGGACGGAGCAGCAACAGGTTAGTTTAGCCTGATGGATCCGATTCCATTCAGAAAACACGCATTTTAAAAGCTTTTCGCCTGCCGTCTTATCTGCAGACTTGTCAAAGCGTTAATTCATGGTTTTTACTAACCGTTATCAGTATGTAGTTACTTCGGCATCACTTTGAAACGTGTATTATAATTAAATCACGGTCAAATATGTTCATTTTGTTGTAGCTGGTATCTCCCATAGAATTTACTTCTCCAGCGCCTCTTGTTTGAATGACAGGAGCAAACACAGCTGACAGCCGCGGTGAAACTCGAGCGATTAGAGCGATGCGAATATTGGGTGGTCTACCATAGTATTTACATGGAGATAAGCCCCTTAAAAACCATGAATTAATAAAGCATTAATTCTGTGTTTAATTCTGGGGGTGGGCAGTATCTCCATGTAAATCCTATCGGAATCGGATCGATCAGGCTAAACTAACCTGTAGCTGCTCCGTCCACACTCACAACAACGTCATACATACATAAAGCAGCGACTGTATTCGAAATGACATAGACAGTCTGTGTTTTGTATATGTTTAACTTTTGTCCAGTTTCTGAACAGATATGAGGAGCTCTGAGTGTGTGCTAACAGCTAACGGCTGATGTGTTGGGCCAATCATGCAGCGTCATTTCTTGACTGGCAGCAAAAACAACCAATCACAGCAGTGCTTCTATGGCTGGCTCTGTCCAATCACAAACAAGAAGTGTTCTCCCTAAGGAATACCCTTTCCGTCCAATGTGAAATGCTGTGGTGTTTTCTGAAATGCTGTGGCGTTTTTGTGAAATGCTGTGGCGTTTTTTGAAATGCTGCGGCGTTTTGTGAAATGCTGCGGCGTTTTGTGAAATGCTGTGGCGTTTTGTGAAATGCTGTTGTGTTTTGTGAAATGCTGCAGCGTTTTGTGAAATGCTGTAGTGTTTTGTGAAATGCTGTTGTGTTTTGTGAAATGCTGCGGCGTTTTGTGAAATGCTGTAGTGTTTTGTGAAATGCTGTGGCGTTTTTTGAAATGCTGCGGCGTTTTGTGAAATGCTGCGGCGTTTTGTGAAATGCTGTGGCGTTTTGTGAAATGCTGTTGTGTTTTGTGAAATGCTGCAGCGTTTTGTGAAATGCTGTAGTGTTTTGTGAAATGCTGTTGTGTTTTGTGAAATGCTGCGGCGTTTTGTGAAATGCTGCGGCGTTTTGTGAAATGCTATGGCGTTTTGTGAAATGCTGCGGCGTTTTCTGAAATTCTGTGGCGTTCTGTGAAATGCTCTGGTGTCTTGCACTTCAGGGCCACCGTACCAGCTTTTATCTGGTTAAATATCAAACATCAAATTCATAATGTAGACTAGTTGGACAAATTAACAACTGTTCCATTTACTGTGTGAACTGTTTTAGGGGTCGACTGTATGATAAATCGTTCTCCCGCTTGCTGCTGGGTGCAGGTGAAAGTAGGGCGATAGTTCTTATTTTATCTTGCAGGTATGCAACAAACATGACGCTGTCACCAGTCTATGGTTATCACATAACGGCAAGCTGGACACTGGATTTACCGACACAGTACAAACCGGAAGTCAGCTAAATAAAGCTATGCACAGTGCTTGCATACTTGTATTGATCTCTATAAACGCATATCTGCATGTGAATGCAGAGATAAACTTATCCTCGTCAGACTTCTGGGTTCCAGGATTTAACTTTTACAGCATATCCTCGTGTCTTTTATTTTGAAATATGTTCTTTAACTTCCGGTCCACCGGACTGCTTTACTTCATTCTTCAATACAATACGGAACATTGAATGAAGTTGTTATCAAAAACCAAAATCAGACCGTTTGTTTTATTAGGTCTTCTTGTTATCCGTTTTTTGATTCAGACAACATAAACAGGAAAACGGCTTTGGTTTCCCGTTTTTTCGTTTTTGATTTAAAACGAAAAAAGGCTGGTATTTTCGTTTTTTGGTTCAAACGTTAAATCAAACTAACAAAACGTACAGACTTTTTTTGGTCAGGTTTTCTCGTTATCCGTCTTTTTATTCAGACAACAACAACAACGGAAAAACGGCTTTGGTTTTCCGTTTTTTCGTTTTAAATCAAAAACGAAAAAACGGAAAAAGGCTGGTATTTCCGTTTTTTGGCTTTTGGTTTAAACGAAAAATCAAACTGACAAAAAGTACACGGATCGTTATGGGCTCTCTGTTTCAGTATAGTGTAGATTAATAAACAGTGCTTAATTTAAGACGTAAGAAAAACATTCAGTATTTATTCGTAAATCGAAAAGAGTCGGAAGCATTAAGAGAGACAGTTGAGTTTTTTAAATGTTTTAAATTATGTAATTGTTTTTGAATTGTGGCTTTTTTTGTGGTAGCTGTTTGACATATGAAAAAGTGAAATCTGGCAGAAAAGTAATGATGTTCTTGCTGCAAGCTGCCCAACATCTTCTCTGCACAAATGTTTATTTCTTCTTTAAATCCACGTTTGTTGGAAAACACCATTTCTATCGGGACATATAAAACATTTATTTCAAATAACTAGTTCATTGAAATATATAATAATAATAATTAACCAAACCGAAACTTAATATCACATTCCATTGGTTTTAAACCATATAGGCCTAGTAGCCTATTAACAAAACTCTAAAGACCATGACCTGCCCATTAACAGCCAAAACAGATAATGTACGGCGAAATAGCATTTTTGTTAAGAATTTAAACAAAAAGTCATATAGCCCTGAGCAGAACTTATCAATTATTCAGAAAAAATGTAATGACTTATTCAACTGTAAAAGTAAACAGAAGAGCGGCCTAAATAAAGCATGCAAATTCTATCAGACGAGCAAAGTGCATTTCAAAATCAGAACAACCTATCACAACATACTCATGGCGAATACAATTATTGTTAAAATAAAATTCAAATTGTTCCCGTCCCCTCAAGTCAGTTATACAGTCCCTTATCTCCGAATCCTTGCTGACGGAATCCTCGGTTAACACATGTGTGCAGTCAGTGAATCACAGGAGGAGCTCAACTCTGCTCTTTGCAGGTCTGCTGTGGAGGGAATGGAATAGAATATGTAGGCCTATTGCAGTTATAGGCCGCGTGTTTCCTTTTACCGTTTCCTGCATCTCGGACACACTCTGCCCCACACATGCTTCACCGTGGCCTGCCTGAGAGCCGGGCTGCCCCACAGGTACACGGCTGGAGTGCACACAGCGTTCAGACGAGCCATAATTGCAAAGACATTGGTGGCCTCGTTCCTAAATATCAGCCCCCCTCCTAACAGCAGTCTGAGGACTATATTAACAAAAGAGGGACCCCACAACAGTAAAAAGATAATGACAACAAAGATGATGATTCTTAATGATTCCTTGTTGTTTTCTCTCTCTGCGCTGGGGGGGTCTCTTGCCAGCTGGTACCTGGCAACAACATACAGTTTGATAGTCATGATCACTTTGGTGAGCACTATGATTTGTAAGCTGACAATTCCGAAAACATACATCTGTATCGCTCTGGAAAGTGGCAAGAACAGTAAAATGATGGTCTGAAAATAAACATGAATCCAACAGCAGGCATTTACAGAGATTACCACCCGTCGGGTTATGAAGCGCGTGTACAAATATGGGTGGCAAACAGCAAAATAGCGGTCAAACTGTGCAAATAAAAACGTCATTAAGTTTACCCCAAGAAGAGAAGGTAACATATTATAACTGCCATTTCTCGAAGGAAATCCTTCCTGCACATCAAACAGACCGAGATAATACACTGAACACCCCACCAGCGTGTCACAAATACTGGTGTTCAGCATGAAAATGAACCTGTTCTGGAGGTGGAGAGCTTTGGTGGACAATATGGTGATGACTAAATGTCCTGGTACCAGAACAGCAGTTGTTGCAAAGATAAATTGAAAAATAAAAATGGCATAATCCACAGGGCTGTCAAAGTTCACTGAGAGAGGTATACCTACTCCTTCAGCGTCTGTGGTGTTGGAGGGGAGCATTGTTCCAAACATGCTCTTTCATTTTAAACATCCTTTTAAAGCTGATTATTAAGGCGTCGGCCGAACAATTTCCCCACGGGACATTACCTAATCTCCCTTTTCATACTATTGTTTAGGGCTGAACCTTTAATGTGTTTTATTTAAACATTTGAGTAGGTTTAAGGGATATTTTTTACACAATGCATTGTATATGTAACAGTATTGATACAGAGGATGCTCACTCCATAATTATGTAAAAATATACACACATGGTACTTTGTAATTATTCGATTCAACCATCCAAATATTTATGAACAGACATCTTGGTGCCCCCACTGCTGCATGTTATATGTCATGTCCATCCATCCATCCATCTTCTTCCGCTTATCCGTGGTCGGGTCGCGGGGGTAGCAGTTCCAGCAGAGAGCCCCAAACTTTCTTTTCCCTGGAGACATCAACCAGCTCTGACTGGGGGATCCCAAGGCGCTCCCAGGCCAGCGAAGAGATATAATCCCTCCACCTGGTCCTAGGTCTACCCCTTGGTCTCTTCCCAGCTGGACGTGCCTGGAACACCTCCCTAGGGAGGCGCCCAGGTGGCATCCTAACTAGGTGCCCGAACCACCTCAACTGGCTCCTTTCGACGCGAAGGAGGAGCGGCTCAACTCCGAGTCCCTCCCTGATGACCGAACTTCTCACCTTATCCCTAAGGGAGACACCAGCCACCCTGCGGAGAAAACCCATCTCGGCCGCTTGTATCCGCGATCTCGTTCTTTCGGTCATGACCCATCCTTCATGACCATAGGTGAGGGTAGGAACGAAAATGGCCCGGTAGACAGAGAGCTTTGCCTTCTGGCTCAGCTCCCTTTTCGTCACAACGGTGCGGTAAAGCGACTGCAGTACCGCTCCCGCTGCTCCGATTCTCCGGCCCATCTCACGCTCCATTGTTCCCTCACTCGAGAACAAGACCCCGAGATACTTGAACTCCTTCACTTGGGGTAAGGACTCATTCCCTACTTGAAGTGGACAGTCCATCGGTTTCCTGCTGAGAACCATGGCCTCAGATTTGGAGGTGCTGATCCTCATCCCAGCCGCTTCACACTCGGTTGCGAACCGATCCAGTGAGTGCTGAAGGTCGCAGACCGATGAAGCCATTAGAACCACATCATCTGCAAAAAGCAGTGGTGCAATCCTTAGTCCACCGAACTGCAGACCCCCTCCCCCATGACTACGCCTCGAAATCCGATCCATGCAGTGCTTGAATTGGAATGAAAAGGGTGCCAGTACTCTAAAATCAGCAACTTTTTCAAGTCAATTTTATATATACAGCCCACAAACAAGAATTTGGCTACTATAATGCTGGTGGGTTTGTCTCTTTACTACTGTATATTTTAGAAAGGTTCACTGTACTTAACATTTTTTATGATAGGCAGCGGATATGGCTAAAGCTCAGTAAGGTCAATATTAACTGAAAATATAGCAATCAAAGTCTAGATCTTCTGCTGAAGACACATGAAGCAGAGACCTTTCAGGTGAGAGCCCCTCTGGTGGTGTTCAACATTAATGACAAGGAAACAAAGCTCTGGTCAGAAGCATTTTTTATAAAAAGCTTTAACAAAATTAAGTATTTCTGTACATTTTGAATGCAATCTAACTTTCCAACTCAGAAAACGAAAAACGAAAAAGTGCCAAAAGTCTTCTCACATGGCTGAGCTGCTTTGCAATATACTTCACCACTGAAGAATACAAATATGTATAAAGTAAACTATGATGCAATCTAACTTTCCAACTCAGAAAAATGATAAAGAGCATGAACAAAGAACATGTAAAAACAAATGCAACATTTGCACAATCTAAAATGAGAAACTGTAACTGCAAGTAACAAAGTCTGAGCCATGGTAAAGAGTTACATTGAACACCAAGCTGATCAGATAACTCCCTGGTTGGTCTGAAGTCCTTCTATCTCCAGGATCTGTACAAATCGGCACATTATGCCAAAAGTCTTCTCACTGGGTGAGCTGCTTTGCAATATACTTCACATTGTTAGAAAAGGCTCCAGAAGGCCTTGGGGACATCAGTATCAGGGGCTGGAGCTGGACAGGCTCTTTCATCAGCACTTCTCCTTCCCTTTGCCAGCCAGGACCTCACATACTGTTCCGGATTGAACTGTCCTAGTGATGGTCCATTACATTTAATGAAAACCAGGCTGGACAGTCGGCTGACAGAGAGAGCATTCCTTTTTGCAGTAAGGATATCGTTCATGCAGCTGAATGCCCGCTCACACTCACTAGTGGAGACAGCGATGGTTCGGACTGCTTTCAGTAGAGGCTCCATGGCAGCAGGTGTACGGGATGCCCTGGTTTCCTTGTATTCGCGAAAGCCCTGAACAGTCTCTCTTCTGTCCACTTTCAGCACTTCGCACAAACGTAGCACCTCTACGTCCCCATACTGTACGTCTAACTCCTCTTCAGGCCAACTTCCAGGATGGATAACTTTCATGTCCTGGATTAGCTGATTGTCCCGGGCCTCCCGGCCATGTAATGGGATTTCTCTTGTGCTGACATGAGAGGAGGTTGTGGAAGTCATTCTGTGTCTCAGATTCTCTACCATACTGCGGAAAAACTGACCTGCATGAATCTGTACAAGCCTGCCATTCTCACGCAGGGCAACACCCTTGAAGGACTTCTCAGCTAGAGCTGTATGAACTGTAGTCATGTGTGGGCCAGGCATGGTGACCATGGATTCAAAAACTCGTATTTCTCGAGTTAAGAGCCTATCTGCTGTAGGCAGTGTTATCTCTCTTTTTTGGAGTTGCCGAGAGAGGTCGCTGAGCTCTGTGAGCGCATCGTACATCAGTCCCAGATTGCTGACAAACGTTGCAGATGTGAGCACATCATCCAGGCCCTTGTACTTTGCTCTGTCTCTGGAATCCCTGCTCGTGTCGTTTGCAGCATTTGTGAAGTGATCATGAAGCACTCGGTAGTTTTCCCAGACTGCTCTGACGCTCCTTTCACTTGAAGCCACCCAGCGGATGGACAAAACACGCCCTATCACCAGGAGACGCTGTCCGACTGCTTGCGCACACTGCGCTAACTGCCTCTGATTTTTGGGGGAGGCATGGAACAAGGAATAGAGTTTGTCAAAAAAGATCTGGAAATGATTGAGCCCTGAGACCTCCTTGACCACATCCCCAACTGCCAGCTCTAGACGATGATTGGAGCAGTGCAACACAAACAGGCTTGGGAATTTACTACACAACTGGGTAGCAACGCCTGTTCTCTTCCCTAGCATGATTGAAGCCCCATCACATGCAAAAGAAACGAAACACTGACCTAAAAAGTCCTCGTTAAAATCTCTTCCAAGACACTCCATTAACGCCTTTGTGATGTCATCAGCCGTTGTTCCATCCAACTCGATCAGCTCCCAAAAAAACGTTTCGGGCTCAGCATCAGCTAATGCTGAGCGTAGACACACAACAAGCACCGTTTTACCACTAATAGTGGTAGATTCATCGACCAAAACACAGAGTTTTCTTTGGTTTTCTGTAATGTCTTTTGCCATTTTTTTCTTCAGCTCATGAGCTATGTGGTCGATGATTTCGCCACAGGTTTTATTGGAGTGCAAAACCCTGCCCACGTTCAGCCCATTCAGTTTCTGTACATTCAAATCAATTGGCATGTCTGTGAATGGCCGGCTATGTTTGCCAATTTTATATGCCGTTCGAAAAACTCTGATAGTGGTGTCTAATTCAGATTTATGCATAGACTGCACTTGATGTTGAATAGTTTCAGGTGAAGCAGATGTAAGGATGTCAGCAGCTTTTACATGGGCTTGTGATTCTTTATGTTCTTTGATTTTTTTTTCTCAGGCTAGCTTGTTGTTTGCCCTTGTCAACACCGAAATGAGACACTGCACACTCACCCCATTCAGTTGACAGTTTCAGTCCTTGTCCAGTGTGTATTCCCAAAGATTTGACATCTCTGCATATCCGACATCCTAGCTTCTTATCTTTAAGAAGGAGCCAGGTCTTGCAAAAATATTGCACCTGGTCCGTTGTCCAGCAGTCAGGTGCATCGCTTTGCCCGGTGTTGGTGGTGGCAGTTGAGCCAGCAGCAGCTAACGTTAGAGGCTCTGGAGGAGGCGGCGGAGCTAGTGCTAATGCTAATGCACTAGAACTTGGAGCAGGAGGATCAACCAAAGAAAGCTCCCCATCAGACACAATTTCCAACACAGGCACAGCATTCTCTGTATTTGAAGTTTCTTCCGGCGACAACCGCTGTCTTTTTGCACTTTTATTAATCCACGCTAACATTTTAGAAATGCTAATTTGTGACGTGACTTGCTTTCCTTCTCTCGGGGGCGTGCCTGCTCTGTTCTATCACTCTACATAGCCACCCACTGGGTGGGAGTTGCACTGCATAAACACAACACACGTGCATCTAGGTATGTAAATTGTAAAGCATTAAAACATGGTTTTACTAACAGTTTTCAGTATGTTGTTACTTCGGCATTATTATTATTATTATTTTGAAACGTGTATTACTATTAAATCACGGTCAAATAGGTTAATTTTGACATAGTCGTTTCCACCACAGTATTTACATGGAGAAGATAAGCCCCGCCCCCTCTCCAGCACGTTCTGTTTGAATGACAGGAGTAAACAGCTGACAGCCGCTGTGAAACTCCAGCGGTTAGAGCGATGAGAATGTCCGTTCGGCACCTCATGACGCATCTACTGAGTACCGGGCGGCTGTATATATATATATGGATGTATAATAAGAACGGCGGGAGAGTGTTGAGTACTGGCACGGTGCATGAGTACCGGAGTACCGCCAGCATGCCGGTACTGAGCAAGAAGTGCCGGTACTCCATGGGTCAGAACCAGAAGTGCCGGTACTGCGTACCGGTGAGTACCGGCCCAATTCCAGCACTGGATCCATGTATATTACAAACAGGATTGGTGACAAAGCGCAGCCCTGGCGGAGGCCAACCCTCACCGGAAATGGGTCCGACTTACTGCCGAGGACCCGGACACAGCTCTCGCTTTGGGAGTACAGAGATTGGATGGCCCTGAGTAGAGACCCCCTCACCCCATACTCCCGCAGCACCTCCCACAGTAACTCCCTGGGAACTCGGTCATACGCCTTCTCATGTCATGTCATGTCAATTTTCTTTAAATAAAAATACCCAAACACTTAGTGGCCACTTTGTGAGGTACACATGAACAATCTGCAATCAATGTTTACTTTGAGTGGTAATACTTTTGGTTGTGGCCTAAAATGAGGTCGGACTGTTATATGAATTGATCTAGCTTAAAAACCCATTTGCCACAAGCATCAAGAGGTAAAAACTGCAGCAACCCTTATAGTTTAGCAACTTTAGAAGCCTAACATGCTTGCCATAATATTACTGAATGACATAAAAAGCAAGGCAGATTCTTTGTTTAGTTTAATTTCTTTAGATATACAACATTTAAATGAAAAAAATAATAATTTTGGAGCCAGCATGTGTATCTGCAATATTGTGTTGCTTCTCCACAACAATTCAACTGCAACTATACAATCAGAGGTTGCTACATTAATTGTAGAGTTCTCTAGATCCCATTTGACACTTATTAAAG